CAGAAACAAGACCCACCCCCCCCAAGCAGACATGTGGGGAGCGGTAGCCAGAGGAATTGGTTCTCTCCTCAGACTCTGACCCCAGTGGGAAGGAAGCTCCGCTCTGGGGCGCAGGGTGGGACGGCGGGGGGGGGAGGGGCTCAGTTTTCTAGTGTCTTTTTAATATGTTCTTTGTAAATAACACTTCTTCTACTTCCTGCAAGCCAGAGGGCCTCCCCTCCTCAGTGCAGGGTCCAGCCCCTGCACCCCTCTGGGGACAGTGGTACAGCTGTCCTGGTTAGACAGAGCGGCTTGGCATGGCGGGCAGCTGGCCCCTGACGCGGAGCCCCATCACCACCCCGCCTCTGTGGCCGCCCATCAGCCCTCGCCCCAAGACGCCTTCCCGAGCAGAGAGCATCAGATCTCTGGGACCGCTGGCTGCCAAGCCCACGGGCGGCATGCCACCCCAGGGCCTGGCACAAAGAGGGTGCCTTGTAAATCCTACCGATGTGGGGTTTTGTTTCGCGCCGCAGTTTAAAGTTCAAAGCTAAAGTGGTTTCGGCCCATCACAGCTAACTCCTAAGCCGAGAGTCAGAGACCGGGGCTGGACGTTCCTGGAAGTTAAATAATTCATTCCCTCAATGGGAACAGTCTCTGCTAGTCAGAAACTAGAAACGCATGAGTCTAGGAACACACAGTGCCCTGCAGTGCCCAGCTTTCCTTAGCGCGGAGGGGAGTACGAGCAAGAGCGGGACAGCTCACTGGGAGCCTGAAGATCTAGAAAAGGCAGAGGCCAGGCCGGGCCCCACTAAGCCCTTGGGCACCAGTCCCCTTAGGAGGCCTCTTGGGTCACCAGGAGCACCAGGAGCAGCAGCTCCTCACAGCCCAAGCCACAGAAGCCAACTCTGGGAGAGCCACGCTGAGTTACTAGAAGGATATGGGGGAGGGGTGCTCACAGAATCAGGGGACCCCGGGGGCACTAACATGCCAGAGAAGTCTGGTCAGCCCTCTGCCAACACCGTCCAACCAGGCCTTCCGTCCTCCCCAGAGTCCCGTGAGAGCCCAGCAGGCGAGCCCAGGTCTCGGACCTGCCCCAACCATGCTAGGGATCCGGACACAGGGGCCCCCAGTGACCTTCCTACACTTGGCAGGGGTGAGGGGTCCCTCCGGAGGGAACGGAGAGGCGGCTTTTAGGGAGAACCGTCGGGGAGCAAGAATTCCAGTTCCCCCAGAGGTCCTTCAAGCTGGACTAAGAATCAAATTGACGTGAGATGGAGTCACAGGAGAAAATCAAATTTAATAGGAGTGTGTATGGGGAATCCACACAGACGTGGAAATTGCAAAGCCAGGCCAAATGAGATCTATGTGTCGTTTTGAACAAAGGAGAAGTTGTAGGGCTCTGGGACTTCAAAGGGAAGGAGAGCTCTTCACAGGGCAATAAGACGAGCAGATGTTTGGTGAGCAGATGTTTGCCCTGCTGTACAGATGGGCCACTCAGATAACATTTATCTCTGGCAATAACTTATTCTGGAAAGACTTCCAATTTAGATTCTTCTATGCAGTTAAAGGAGGGGCAGCAGTGTCTCGTGAGCCCTCAGAGTCTTGATGCCTTCAGCTCAAAACAGTCGGCGAGCCAAGTGGCCCATCTTGGGGAGGCGCACCCTCCGCCCCTACAGGGCGGAGGCTGTGAGGCACCAAATGTCGCCAACCAGCACCTTTCTTGGGAAAAGCTCTCTACTCTCCGGCTTGGCCACCGTGCGTGGCCTCAGCACAACCATGGCCTACTTAAGCCACCAACCCCCCGCAAAAAAGGAGCTGCATTGAGGTGTTAGGTCTCTTTAGAAAACTGTTTTCCAAGCGGTGGCAGGCCTGGGTGGGGCGCCCCACAAAGATGTGTTTGGTAAGCAGTTGAATAGGAGCTGTCTCGGCCTTGGAGGCGCCTTTTGTCAGGCTCCGGCCTTAGCAGGAAGACTCAGCCCACAGGCCCGGGGTGGGCGCTGCTCCCTGCCGCGAGCCACTCCCGGGCCACCTCCCTCACAGAAGAGGAGCCCGGAGGCCGTGCTGCGGCCTGGGCCGCCTCGGGTCCACCCTCTTGCCTTACAGCAAGCTGCCAGAGCAGAGTAGGGGCCAGTGGCCCCTGAGCCAGAGAGGGTGGGGCTCACTGTGTGTCCCCACCCCACCCCCCACGCCAGCCCATTTCCCTAAATTACATCACCTGCCTGACCGTCGGGGCCATGTGAGTGTACCGAAGCCCCTCTCCATCAAGGCCCTTCGGAGAAAGTGGTGCTTCCTCTCGTCAGCCCCTCGTGCCCCCTGCCGCCACTCCGGGACCCGAGGCAAAGCCAGTGACTAGACTGTGTTGCCCGAGTGCGATTTGTCAGCTTCTTCCTACAAAGCCAAGTTGGCTTCTGACTCTCCCTGGTGTCCTGTGTCCTGAACCCTGGACACATGCAAGGCGCCACCGGAGTTCAGGAGGGGGCAAAAGGCAGTAAAAATCTGACTAAAGCCCAGGGATTCTTAACGTGGGCCTCAATTCCGCAAGGCGGGATTCTTCTTCAGGGCAGTGGCCTCTTCTGACACCACAAAGGCACGGCATGGTGGGGGAGCAGGTCAGCCAGCCAGCTGCCAGCCCGGCCCCCGCCCCTCCAGGCTATGCCACCGGGTCCCTGACCCACCCACCCCCACCCACCCCCACCCACCCTGCAGTCTCCTCCCTTGCTTAAAATTGGAGATCAAAGGGCTGTCAAAAGGACCCAACGAGATGATGCAGGCCTGTCGGGTGGCCCTGTTGCATATCCAGTACTGACAATCCACAGCATCTCTGCACGTTGTCCACAGGCAGCCTGTCCCCGTCACTCGGCCAGGAAGGAAAAGCAGAAGGGCTGACTGGAGGGTCCATCGGAAGCCCCCAAAGCTGCCCTTACTGCTGAAAGCAGAAGACACCCTCCCAAACCTCATGATAGAACCAGATGAGCTCAGGGTGGGCTGGAGAAGGAGCAGGCTGGGCAGTGGGCCGAAGACCACCTGGCTCACAGCCAGCGTCACGGCCCCTCTCTATCAGTTCAGAAACTGGACGGGCTGACGGCGGGGGGCAGGAATGTGGCACCGCCACCGCTAGGCTGAGCTCCGCACGCCCCCTGGTGGTGGCCTGTGGCAAATATGCAGGTCCCAGCGTGGAAAGGCCTAAGATGGAAAACCAAAGTGTAGAAGAAAGGAAAAGGCCAGGAGAGCCCAGACCCAGGGTAAAGGAGCAAAGGGCAGCCACTCGAGAGAGGATATCCAGATAGATGAGGCCTTGTGGACATGATCAAAGACGCCTTTTAGCAGAGCATGATCCTGACTTCCACCCCCCCACACATCCCCCCCACCGGGGCCCCCAACCCCCAGCCCCAGCAGCCACATCTTCACTTCGCAAACTCACCGGAGCGACCGCTTGACGTGTAACTCATCAAAGTTTATTACGGCAATTAATTATACAAACATACCAGCGATCGTTCACCCAGTTCGGAAGCTCTTGAACCATAAGAGTCCATTAGTGATTTCTCTTTATAAATAACTTAGGAGAAGCAAGCACAATTGGCAAGCAACTGACAGCACGAATGGAGCATCTCCTGGCGAATACCCACTGATGGCGCGCAGGCCAGGGAGGGGGGCAGGCACCAGAAGGTCGAGTTTCCTCGTGGGCCCCCAGCACCCCAGGCCCACCAGATGCTGGGTACTCAAGTAGTGGACATTTCAAGGCACATATGACTTCCTAGCTGATAGCAGCTCCAGAGTCTGCCCTTGAGACCTGGTTCATATCCGGAACAATCAAGTTAATGCTTCGTTCATCACACCCCTTTAGTCTACTGCCTTTGTCATTACTGAACACGTGAAAAACCCCCAGTGTGCCGGGGGCTGTGTGTGGCGCGGAGTCACATCCCTGCCCTGTACATTCTGAAGACGAGAGAGAAGCACAGAAATGGACTCCGTCCGACAGAGCGATGGTGTCTCCGAAAGCACCAGGTGGGAAGTCACTGTTCGGGCGTCCTCTGTCTGAGGAGGGGTGCTGGGGCAGGGGGAGTAATGCCAGGGAGCCAGAGAACAGAGATGAAGTGGGGGGGGGGGCACTGTGGATGAGATTCAAGGCACTAGAGGAGTGGATGGATGGGGGGTAGGGAACCCCAGAAGTCAACCGGAAATGGAGGGCCCCAGAGAAGAGAGGGCGGCTGGGGGAGGTGACCCGGCCCTCCACTCCTAAATGAGTCCGGTGTGAGCGCTATCTCCTGGGCCAGAGCTGCTCCCTCTCCTCCAGCCAAGGCAACTCCCGGATTCTCCAACCAGCGTGAGCAAGGTCTGGGGTCCACCTTCACAATCCCCAGCTTTCTCGCTGCTCCAGCTGCCGCCGTTCAGCCCAGCTCACAGAACACGCTTCTCTGACACCGGCCTATCAGAGTTCAGTTATGGCTTTATGGGACTTAAAAATCACCAAGAGTTTTTCCTAACTGCGCCCTGCCCCTGATCCAACTCCAACCATGGTGTGCGGTCCTTGAAAGGACCGGACAGACACAGAGCTGCATCCCTGGCCACGGGCACCAGGTTGAATGTGCCAAATCCCAGGAGAGAGGGAGGGGGGTGAGCAGGGGCTGGAGACCGGCCTCCTCGTCACTGAGATCATTGCATTTGGTTCCAGTGTCCGGGAGCGCAGTAGACGTCCGCCAACGCGCACGCCTCACACGGACACCCACGAAGAGGGACCAAACTCACCGCCTGGCTAGCACCAGAAAAGCTGAAGCCAGTCACCGAAAGGAGGCACTCCCTTCCCCCCAGGAGGCCAGTTAAGTGCTGTGACCGGCCACGCTGCCAAACCAGTCATACTGCCTGGTTGCTTTCCAGGCCTGCAAGCTCCCAACCAGGTCCCCCCAGGGCCCCTGTGTGCTGACACAAGTCCACTTCCAAGGTAACCTCGAATCTCAGTGGTGGGCAGGCCGAGGGCTGTGGCACAGGTGGAAGTAGAGAAAGGCCGGGGGCCAGGACGGTGTCTAATACCCAGGCCAGGTAGGACCCTGAGCTGGTGGAAACCCATAGGGTGGGGCGGGCCCAGGGGGGTAGGGTGGCTGAGGGGGGCCTGAGGGCTGGGGCTGACCTGGGAAGCTCGGGAGGGGGTGCTGCATTGGGTAGGGAGGCCTTCCTCCTGGCGAGAGGTAGGGGGCCTGTTGAGGATAACCAGGACTGAGGGCCCGGCTCCCTGCCAAGGGGTACCCGGGGCCAGCGGCAGCAGTGGGGGCCGCGGGACAGCCTGGCCGGGGGGGTGTGCTCCTCTGTGGGGACCAGGAGTAGCCCGCAGCACCCCGGGGTCCCGGGTGGGCTGATGGGTACGGGGGGCCCAAAGGCCCCCTGTAGGGAAAGGAGGGCTGGGACACCACGGGGAAGGGGGCCGGCTGCAGCGTGCCCTGGGCGGTGGGGCCCAGGGGTATGCCAGGGGACGGGCTGTAGGGCAAAGGGTAAGGAGGCACTACTGATGGGGGCGGGGGCGGCTCTTCGGCCACAGGGGGTGTCGCCTGGGGGACCGGGCGAGGCAGGGGCGGCGGGCGTGGAGGAGGGGCGTCACCGGCCGGCTCCTGGGAAACCCTGGGCTTCCTCATCACGTCCTGGAGCTTCTCCACGCGCACCCTTCGCAGATGGGACAGCATCCTCATGGAGGAGAAGTTCTCCAGAAATGTTTCCAAGGGCACCTCGCCCTCCAGGAACTTCTCGGCCATGGCCTAGAAGACATAAAGTCTGGTGACAACTGGGGCCTGCCTGGGATCAAGGCTGCCCGTGTTCCCCGGGATCAAAGGCCAACTGCGGCCGTCTGGCACAGCCCGCTGCAGGCACTCCCTGTCTTCTCTGGCCCCCACTTGGGACTTTCTCCTTAACGGCACTTATCACCGCTGACCAATTCTACCTGCACTTGCTCAGGTGTTCTGTCTCCCTCACCAGAATGGCAGCTCCTAGAGGGCAGGGGCTGTGGTGGCCACTGCTGTCCCCGCCCCCGGCATCGTGCCAGGCTCACGGCAGCTCCTGCATGGCCGTGATGAATAAATGGATGAACACTAGCTACTCAGTTGCCAGTGCAGACGGGCCCCGGGCTGGGAGGACCTGGAAGCTTCTTCCACCCAGGGCACGGAGAACTGGAGGGAGCCCGTCTGCCCACAGACTAAAGAGATGGCCAGAGGGAAGCAGAACCGAGAGGCCAGGCAGCCGGGGTGGGGCCAGGGGCCAACAGGGCCTCCAGCGGGACTAACCGTGTCATCCACCGTTGCCGTCTACTAATGCCCCTGGTCCCAACTTTGCAGACACGCGGTGCTCATTCCAAAGGGTTCCCGCTCCAGGGCCCGACACAGAAGAGGGTGTGACAACGGCCATCCTACCTCAGACTCTTCTTCGATCTTCATGCCTTCGATCTGCAGAAGGTCTAACAAAGTCTCTGGCTGCAGTGCTGAAGAAAATTTTTCTGGAAGGGAGGGCAGAAAGATCGACATTCTGCAAGTGCCTTTCCATTCAGTGTTAGAGGCTGAGCTTTCGGCAAAGACCCTCACAGCGTCCTCTGTGTGCTCAGGGGCCCAGCCCCGGTCAGGGGGTCTGGTGTGGAGCCCAGTTCCCTGAGGTCACCCTCCTGAGCAGAGAGGGCTCTACCAGGCCCGGCCCAGACCTTGGCTAGCCAGCCGTCCCAGTGTCAGCACAAAGGACTCAAGCATCAGAGCCCACCAACCAGCCCCAGCCCTGTGCTGCCTCATGGGGGCAGGGGGGAGTTACTGCACTGTCTGAGCACCAAGCTTCTCCATGGCTGAGACCCCGACAGCCCCCCCTCACTGATGGCAGGTCCCGGGACACGGAGAGCCCAGCCCAGCACCGCAAAGCGCGGTGTTGCCCAGCAACAGCGGGGAGGCAGGCTCTCTGGACTCAAGTCCCAAATCTAGCCAGAGAAGCCTGGCCACGTTCCTGACTCTCTCTGAGCCTCATTTTTCTCATCTATGGAACAAGAACAACAGTCCCTCCCGTCTAGGCTGTTGGGAAAAACATATGTGAAGCACTCAGCGCGGGGGGCCGGCAGGGGATCTTTCCTATCCCGTGGAAGGGAGAGGGAACGTATCCTTCCGCACTATTCCCAGAGCTAGCACGGGGCCTCCAAGTTGACAGACGAGCACCCAGAGCTTGCTCCCAGGCCGTCCCTACCCAGCTTCGCCTTCTGCTCCTGGCACCGCTCCACGAGCTTCCGGAGCTCCTGGTACTTGTCCGAGAGGTTTGAACGGCTGATCTCCAGGGGGCCTTGGAACTCCAGGTTCCGCTCCGCCAGGCTCCGGTTGGTGGCCAGGGCCATCTCCCGTTCCAGCTGCAGGTCCTGGACCTAAAAGAACAGGACGTTGACTGTAAGAACCATCACCACCATCACCATCACCACCACTCACCTCGCGGCAGGCTGCACCTGGGGATTCTGGGACTCCTCACTCCCAGTGGGAGAAGGGGGTAATACCCCCAGCTAGGGTCCGACGGACCTGGGCTCAAACCCTGAGCCAAGCGCTCTGACCCGGGCGCCTCACTGAATCGCTAACCCAACACCCCATGCGGTGGACACAGGTGGGAAGTGCGCTGAAGGTCAGCAGCTTGCCCAAGGCCACGTGACGAGCAGGAGCCAGGACGCCACGACCCTGCAGAGCTCCAGCAAGCAGGTGGACCAATTAATATGAACGAGGCAGAGGCTTTCTAGGAGGGAAGGGACCAAAATCCCAAACTATTTATCCCCAAGATTCTGAGGCAGGAAGCCTACCGAGATGCACTAAGGTGGCCCGAGTCAGACCACAGGCCAGACATGCGTGAGGCCTCAGAACGGTTACTCTGAGGGGTGAGAAAGGCAGGCCCAGACCAGGACAGGCTGATTCAGGGGAGACTTGTCCTTGCTTCCTGGGCCACAGGTAGGTCCTGCAGAGAAGCTGTGCAGATGAGCTAACGGCGGCGTCCCCAAGAACTGGCGGGGCCTCTCAGCCAGCAGAAGGCCCCCACCGACACGGGCGACCTGAGGCCCTCATGCCAACCTTGGCCCCTGGCCGTGCCCCCCCTGAAAGTACTTCCCCAAGCAAAGCAGCGCCTTCCCCTCAGCCAGGTCCCTTGTGGCCATTAGCAAGGGTGGCGACAGCCCCAGGAGCCCTTCCCAGACCTGCTACGGCCTGAAGCTCCATCCCTGCGCCAGGGAGTCCTCTTTACCGGGAGGAGGGCAGAGAGTCGGACGCAGCACCCCCGAGAAAGCGACGGTCCACCAAGAGCCCCACGCGGCACGAGAAGAGAGGGCTCAGTGCCCAGTAGAGGGCTCAGGGCACCGCTGCGCACAAGTAGCTGTCACGCGGGGGCCGCCACGGTCGGCACGTGATGAACGGACTGGCTCATCCCCCACAGGCCAGGGGTGTCCCGGAAGCCTGCCCTCCTGCTGCTCCCCGGCCACAGGGCCTTGAGCTCCGAGCTCTGGGGCGGACCTGGAGCCCGCTCTTCATGCTCCAGATGGGACAGAGGGGGCACGGACCCGCCTCCCCTCCACAGTGCGGCCGCTGGGGCCCAGGGATCCTGGGGCCTGCCTGGGGTCTCTCCAGTCTCCCCACAACAGCAAGCTGCCCCCACATCTGGGCTGACTGGTTTGCTGCCATGAGCACGCTTCTGAGCCACTCGGCGAGCTGCAGAGTGGGAGGCCCGAAGCCCTCTGCTCAGCTGCCCCCTGGCCCTCCTAGGTGGGCCTAGACCCATGGCCTTTTCCGTGGGTCTCAGCCAATAAATCCAAGCTGTGTCATTCAGCCCTGCACCGTGCCCTACACATTCCGGCCTGTTCTCCCACAGCCTCCCCCAAATCTTTCTCCATAGGGGGTTCACTATGAAGCCTTCCACCAGTCATTCTGAAGAGGTCAATTAAGACAGTTGTAGCACCCCGCCCAGAGGTGCTCACCAGGCCTGGCTGGACCCCACCGGTCACTGCCCTCTGTGGAGAGAGCCCCCCCTACTAGCTAGCTTTCTTCTCTCCAAGCAACATCCACATCCCACACGGAACCAGCCCACGTCTCTCTGCACAGCCACGCGACTAGGATGTGTAAAATTATGTTTGATAGGCCATGGTGGACACCTCGTCCAAGGGATTTTGCAAATCTAAGTAGCTTGCCCTACTTCGCTTCCCCTTGATCCCAGAACTGCTTTTCCCCTCCAAGAACTCAAATTGACTGGTCTGACTGGCTGTAGTCCACAAAATTCGAGTCGCCTTCAGCCCCAGAGGTTGTCTGCGCTTACATTTTCTGCAATTCTGCGCTTCGGCATCAAGTCTTTCAGCCTACTCAGCTTGGAAATCAATCAATTATACTTATGTGAAGGCTCGCTTCTGCCAAGTTTCCCACACTTTAGAACTGGCCTTGGAATTCCTAGAACGCTGTGCTCATGGCAGAGTCAAGAAACACTTATGCTTAATTCGTGACAAACGGAGGATGAAGGAGTCTGGCACAGTGCTGGCTGGGCCAGATCCTGGCCTTATCACGGCCTGACTGACCACTGAGGCGGGCTTGGGGCTTAACCAACACAGGTTTTGCTTCCAGTCCTCGCCGATCGAGGCTCAAGGCAGCAGAATGTGCCACACGGAGCCCCCCTACCTGTCCTCAAACCCTGCCCCCTACTCTATCCTCCCTGCCCCCCAGCAAAGATTGCTCATTTGAGTAGCGGGGCAGGTGGGGGGAGGTGGGGGCAGCCAGAGCACAAGCTAGGAGGGGCAAGGGAACACGGCCGCACTGGGCACACCGTACAGAAAGCAGGGAGAAGCCGGACAGGGTGGCTTCCCTTGTGTTAACACACAGTGAATCCCCAGCAGAGACATATCATACCTATTCATCAGTGAAAATAAAAATCTATTCCGAATGCTAATCCAATGAGCTCGGCACTGCTTGTACTTGTGTCCGTCCCCAGCATGAGGGGCGGCAGGGGTAGCTTCCCCAGAGCAGGGGACAGGCTGCCGCTACTCGGGGCGGGACTGTGGGTATACCCAGCTCTTGGCCCCATCCAGTCGCCTGATCTCACAGGGGTCACGGGGTTGAGGAGACGAGAAGGCCTTTATAAATATAAGCATAAAGCTCTATACATTCGGAAGGGTTATTTTATTCCCACAGGGACTGTGATGAGCTGAGACTGGTTAGGTGCCAGTTATTACAGGAAACGGGATCAAACAGGAGATGGGCCCATACCCCAGGCCAAGAATGGCTCCTCCCCTAGAGGCAGGGCCAGACAAGGCCCTTGGGAAAAGACAGCCGCAAAATGGTAGGAGTACTTGCAGAAACCACCGCCAGGGTCAGGCTGGAACAATATGTGGCGACTCACAGCGGGGCCCCAGATGCCCCAGGACTGTCCCCCAGAACTCCCAGAGAGCCCAGGGGCTGGACTCAGATCTCAGGGATTCCTCTGGCTTGATCCAAACCAGAGGGAAGGCCACAGAAAAGGGAGAAGAACCTGGCCCCAACTCCCACCAAGCCAGTGTCCCAAAGCAGGGCCAAGGTCCCATCTGCTGGCCTTCCTCGGGCCCTATGACAGCCTTGCTCTACCTCGGGGGCCTCCTGGGCCAGCTGGTTAATGGCCTCTGGGTCATTCTGCATCTCCTCCAGCTCCTCCAAGGTCTTGTCTTTCAGAGTCTCCATCTTCCCTGTGAACACAGAACAGAGAGAAAGACACACTGCAGTTTCCCACTATGCTTCCACTGGGCAGGAAGCCTCAGGGTGGGACAAGGGTCCCAGCAGGCAGATCCCGGCCACCCTGCCATCCCGTCCCCAGGGAGACCAGGGAGCCCCACTCCTTCCACCAAACCATGAGCAGCAGGATAGGAGAAAGCCCTCGGCAGCCAGAGGCAACACCACGACTCCTTTGGGTGCTAGATAAAGCTGCCCAAAGGAGCACACAGGAAAAGGCAGAAGGAGAAGCCAGGCAGCCAGGGACAGAGATAAAGTTGGGCCCAAGGCCGCCTGTGAACCCAGATGCCAGCAGGCCCTCTGGTAAGCGTCTATTTCTGCCTGAACCAGAAACACACCCGAACCTTCACACGCGGGGGCTGTGCGGCCTCAGCATCCCAGGCTCGAGGGTATCACTGCTTGTTCTGCTTAGCACCCCGACAACCTGGGGTTTCCCTCGACTGTGCTCGGTGACCACAGTCCTCTCCACGGGCCACAGAAATGGACAGTCACGGGCAGGGCCTCCTCGGGGAAGAACAACAACAACAATCATCATATTGGCACCAAAGGCACTCAGAAGGCAAAGAAAACTGACCGACCCCAACAGAACATCCGCCTGGACAAAAGAGCTGGTTTCAGCGGGGCTCCCCCTCCTCTGTCACTCTGCCAACAGGGACACCGACTGTCTGCGTGACAGACAGTGGGGTCACAGCCAAGCCCCAGGAGGGAGTCCCGGGGACTAAGAGAAGGAAGTGCAGACACACTGAGGCCACTCTCTTCCTTTCTGCCAACAAGGTCCTCCCTTACCTTTTCTAGACGCGCATCCTACAGCCCTGATGTCCATCTTTCTCATTACAAAAGTGATGTTCGTTTTCCAAAGAGTCCAGGTTCCAGAGAGACCGAGACCAGGAGGCCCTGGTCCTCCCCCGCACCAGTGCTCAGCCTGCGGGATCCCACGCTGCCCGTAGTGGGCCACGCCGGAGGCCGTGCTAACAAGGAACTTCTCTGGTGTCGGGGTCCTTCGCCAGCATTTGTTCCTTAAGCCCGCACTGTGTTGGCCTCATCTTACTGAACCTTACGCCTGCCCATTTTGCTGATGGAGAACCTGAGGCTCGGCGAGGTCCCAGTTGTGGGAGGTCCCTCGGCTGAAGTATAATAAGGTCCGAGGAGGGGCTCTGGAATCGAGGACCAATGTGGCACCTGTGTGACCAGAAGTGACCTCCAGGTCCTAGCCTCCCGTGTGGAATGGAAGGGAATGGTCTCTCCTAGGTCATCAGAAAGATGAAAGGAGAAACTGATCAACAGTGACAGCCCCCCATTGGCCAGCAAAGTGCTGGTTTCCTCCTCACATGCCAGCACAGCTGTTTACGGTGCCCCCTTCTCGTGTTCAAAACTCGTTGCAACAACAAATTATAGGGTCACCCTCCTGAGAAAGAGCTAGCCAAACAGAGTAGTCAACCACCATCTCTTCTCTCCCGAGGGTTGAATGTGGTCCCCAACCTCTAAGGCAAGGAATGCTAAGTTTTGCACGTGCGGTCTCTCCTGATCCTGCCGGGGCCGTGGCGGGGGGTGGGGCGGGGGGTGGGGCGGGTGGTAGGCAGGCAATTGTCCCTTTACAGGTGGGGATCAGAAAGATTAGTAAACGGCAGAGTGAAAAATCCAAACCTCCCTTCTGTCCCCATCTCACCCGGCTGCTCCAAAAACCCTTGGTCTGAAAGCTGGAGCAGGGGAGTGGCAGACTGAACAGGGCCCGGGAAGGAGAACTCTGGGGGTGCGCCGCTTCCCACCCTGCAGACCGAGTGAGTCCACCATGAATGGGACCAGCGGGGCAAACACGACACGTGGAGCAGCACTCTAAAAACAAACCTGGTCTGAGTCCCGGCCCTGCCACTTCTCAGCCGAGGGACCTCCCACAACCAGGACCTCCCCGAGCCTCAGGTTCTCCATCAGCAAAATGGGCAGGTGTAAGGTTCAGTAAGATGAGGCCGACACAGTGCGGGCTTAAGGAACAAATGCTGGCGAAGGGCTCCGACACCAGAGAAATTATTTATTACCACGGCCTCCGGCGTGGGCCAGGTCCCGCGGAGCGCCGGCAGCGCCGAGCCGGGCTCCAGCACAGAACCGGGTGTCCGCCGGCTCCTGCAGTCGGGGCCGGGCTCAGAGAGCCCAGGGCCAAGGGAAGCTCCGGCCTGGGCAGCTGGCTGACCACACACCCCCTGGCGCGGTCGGCAGGGTGTCTGCGGAGGCCCCGAGCAGGTGCACTCCCACACACGGGCGGAGCCCTGAGCAGAGCAACTGTGCCCCAGCCCCTTCCCAAGGCGGGTGTCACCGTCCGTGCTTGGTAAGTCCCACACAAGGCAGCACGGCCTCGAGCGGCGGATCACACGCTTTCCAGTCTCAGGACACCTTTCACCTCTAACATTACTGAGGAACCCAAAGAGGTCTCCCTTATGTGGTGGATTTTAGGTATTAGTATTGACCATATGAGATATTAAAAGTGAGAAATTTTTCCAATTTATTTTCTTTGAATGTTCATAGCAGCTTTCATTGGAACAGCCTGGAATTGGAAACAACCCAAATGATCTCCAGTTAGTAGAGTCTTACAAGCTGCACTACAACTGTATAGTAAAGCTAGATTCTCCAGTAAAAAGGAAGAAATCGATGTCTGCGACTTGAATGCATCTCAAGGGAATTTTTCTGAGTGAAAAGTCATTTATAGAACATTCTGTTTATATAACATAGGATTCTTTTTATACAACCTTCTTAAGATGAGAAGGTCGTCAAGATGGAAAACATGCTGGTGGCTGCCACAGGGAAACATTTTTAAAATACAAGACTACGCAAGCACCCATATGTCAGAAGCCACCAGAAGGATGATGTGATCGCATGCCATGTACCCTCTGAAAACCCCACTGTATACTCATGCAAGAAACACAGTAAAAAGGAAAGTAACACCTTAGATTATGAGAATCATTCTGACCTCACAGGCAGCCTGAAAGGGTCTCAAAGACCACCCCTCCACCCAGGGCTCCCGGGAACACACTTTGAGAACCACTGGCCTCGAGGTTAGAATGGACCCTGCAGCCAGATAGCCTGGGTTTGAATCCCTCCCTGTCACCTACAAGCCCTGTTGTTTAACTTCTTTGTGCCTTAGGTCCCCCATCTGTCAGAACAGGGGTGCATGGAACACAGCGAGCCTAAGTACTTGCATTATGAGGACCCTCGCGACCAGCTGATGCAGCGAGTACTGCCAGCACCCGACCTCGCAGAGGAGGCTCAGAGAGGGGAAGTCACTTGCCCCGGGCCCTCCCCAGTGGGGGCTTCGCAGCATGCCCCTCGAAATCACCAGAGTCCCAGGTCCTCCTCCAGACCCAGAACTCTCCAGGACTCTTCGTGTGACTTTTAACGAAGTTTTCATTCTAACTTCTACCCAGGGTCAAACTCGTGTGGCATCTGTGGCCTTTCTTTCCCCTTCGTCTGGCACTCTGAGGGAACTCAGGTGGGTGCAGCCTCCCCTGATAGAGGAAAAGCAAAGACCCCAGAGAAGAAGGGGTTCGTCAAGCAGTCCATGCGGAGGCAGATGCAAAGGCGGGGCTCAATCCCCTGTGTTGTTTCTACTGAGTGATCTCTGCCAGGACCCCAAACATACTTCCCCCGGGTGCCTGTGGCTTGCCTCGTGTAGGCAGGGTGGGACCAGGCACGGGACGGGGTTCTCCCACTCCAGGACCGAAGCTCTGGATTTGCAGCCCCGTGGCAGGGGGCCAGGCGAGGCAGCCTAGGCAGCCTACCACAGCGTCAAGACCAACCAGCAGAACGTCGAGGCTACAGCTCCCAAGAAGACAGCCAAGCTCTGGCCAGCTCCGTGGGGAGACTCATACAAAAAGCATACCTGCGACACTGTCAGGCTTCTATAGGCCAGGAGACGCACGCTACCCAGAGGCCAAGTCAGGGGAAGTCCAAGGGGGAGGGTCTGCACTGGGCTCAAGGCCCAGAAGGCACTGGGAGCACTGGGAGCTGGCCTGACTGGAAGGCCCTGACGCAGAACCCACCCTACAGCCAACTGGGAAGACTGGCTTCTTGACCGGCTCACCTTCACCAGCCACTTTCTCTCCCCACCCCCCCCCAAAAAAGGGAAGTATTTTCATCAGAGGAAAGTCAGCAAAACAAAATCTTTGTATAACATTCAAGTGTTCTGTAACATTCTGAACGGTTTTCTCATGGGGGCTGACAGAAGCTGTTATTGATCTCTCTTACTGATATCTCTGTGGACCTAGTGTGTGTCCATCCCGGAACCAGCAGTGCGCATGCGCGTTCAGTGATGTCTGTGGAAGCAAAGTGGCCAAGTCCCCTCTCCAGGTCACACACAGAGGGGCCCGATATCACTGTAACTGGCGTGGGGATGCCACTGCTTTTGTGAGGGACAGGGACAGCTACGGCACCAAGGATGTAACTTGTCATCAAAGCTTGGCAGTAAGTGACCATAGACATTTAGCCAGAAAGGGGACTTTGCTGGGTTAAAGAGTGCTGGCCAATCAAGAAGTGTGCTCCCCAGATAATTCTGGGGTGCACTGAGGTGAGCATCTCCTCCACCCACCACCCCAAATGACAGTCTTCCTCTCCAATCTAGAGCCCCGCACCTGGCTCTGTTTGATGGCCTTGAAATCCCAGAGACACAAATCCCTGGAACTTCCAGCTGGTGATCCGAATAATCACTGTCTTTTAGACAGTGAGAATTCTCCCCGAAGTGGGCAACGGATGAAGCACACAGCTCTCATACTGAGACCTTCCTCTCCCAGCTTGGGTCCCTGGTTGGGGAATCCCATCCCCAGCGGTGTGCTCCTAGGTGCTAAGGTCACCCCCACTTCCCTCGGAGGCTGGGTATGCACCTGCTTGAACGCGGAAGATCAAAGGGATGGGAGAGTGTTCTAGCTCAGGTCTGGGAGGACTCCCTCGGCCACTCCCTGATTGGGAAA